GGCCGGGAGGCAGAGCCGGAGGCGGACAGCGGAGTCGTGCTGCGTCGGCTCCGGGAGGCCCAGTGAGTGCGGGCCAATCCTGGCGGGCAGAGGCGCCTTGCTGGGCCTCGGTCGCCCCAGCTGTACGGTGGGGACGGGGACGTGCTGCGCACCTGTCCTGGGGTCACTGTGAGGCTTTAATGCAGGGGACTCGCCCGCTGCGCACCCGGGCTTTTGTGAGCGCGTCTCGTTCCCTGCGGCAGTGACAGCTGCGCCCCTTGGCGTTCCCCTTTGTGGGACGGGCTTGCAAACTCGGCCCGCGTAGGTCGACCCCGGGGTTCCGATGCAGTGGACGGAACCGTCTCCTGCCCGCGGAGAGCGCCGGCCGGGCTAGGCGCTTCCCGCCCGGCCCGAGGTTGCTTGTTGTTGGTATTAGGAACACGTGACTGTCACCACTACCATTAGTTTTGGGATGGATGCTGTGTGCCTAGCACTGGCTTAAACCATCTACACACGCTGTTAGAATGCTGGTAGCTCAAAGAGACATGGGCGAGGCATGGAACCAGTTTCCAAATTCAGATCGTTGTGACTCCAAAACCTGTGCTTTCATCTTGTCATTATTCAGGACTCTTATTCTACCCAAATCCCCCCATACCCTGCCCTGTAGTTAGAAAGCACGCAGTGCCCAACACTGGAGGTATTTAGTAAATGCTACCTACTACTATTTAGTATTTTTATTTACTTGCAGTCCTGTTAGAGCTAAATAACTAACAGCTTTAGCAGTGATTCAGATCAGTGAGTGAAGAAATATCACAAGAGATAAAAATTAGATTAATTTCTACCAGAGGGTCCTGTGAATCAAAACCGTTAACCAACTGGTTGAGACTGGGAAATAAAAACAATTCTTTCTAAGATCTCTGAAGGTGCAATGAAAGTGAATGTGTCTTGGGGCTTGGGGTAACTGTGTGTGAGAGTGACAGTGTTCTCACTAGGTTACCCAGGCTGGCCTAGAATATAGATCCTCCTGCCTCAGCCTCCTGAGGAGCTGTGCTTTTCCCTATCTGTTTTAGTCGACTTTTTCACTGATGTGACTAAACAACCTGACCAGAACAACTGTAGTAGAGGATAAGTTAGAGGGCTCACAGTTTCAGAGGTCTTAGTCCATAGAAGACCAACTCCATTACTTGGGGCTGGAGGTGAGGCAGAGAGAACATGGTGGAAGAGTGTGGCAGAGGGAAGCATCTCACATGATCAGAAAGCAGAGAGATTCCACTGGCCAGATACAATCATATGCCCCTAAGGCATACCCTACCCTTTAATTACCACTCGGTTAATCCTTATGGGGATCAACTCACTGATTGGGTTAAGACTCTTATAAGCCAATAATTTCTCCTCTGAACCTTCTTGCATTGTCTCACATGTGACCTTTTGGAGGACACATCACATCCAAACCACAACAATATCTCTATTCACTGTTATTTCCTCAATTTCTTCAGAATCTCCCAGGAGCTTCCCTCTTCTCCCAGCACCCCTCTATGTCAAGTCACCACTGCTCTGAATAGGAAGGGGCCCAGGGCTCTACATGCTGACTGTGCACATATTTGCCAGTTGACAGCATTGCCATACAGAGTGGAGCTCTGCTTTACCTGTTGTGAGGAACCTGGGCAACCTCTGGGCAGATGTTTTTCAATACTGTCCACTCCTTCCAGAACCCCCAAATAGTCTCTGGCTTATGGCTTGTGGAAGGCAGATGACCTGAGCAAAGACACCAGACACTTGATTTGTCTCTTCTTTTACTTTCCCCTTAGAATCTTTTTTTAAATATTTATTTATTTATTTATTTGGTTAGCCACAATACCTTTATTTTGTTTATTTTTATGTGGTGCTGAGGATCAAACCCAGGGCCTCGCGCATGCTAAGTGAACGCTCTACTGATGAGCCACAACCCCAGCCCCCTAGAATCTTTTTTTTAATCTTTTTTTATTGTGACAAAATGCACATAACATAGTTGATCATCTTAACCATTTTTAAGTACACGTTTCAGCACTTCCATGGTGTTAAATACATCCGTAATGTCATGCAGCGGTCACCCTCACCTACCTCCACAGGTCTTTCATCTTGTAAACCTAAACCCCATACACATAACACGGCAGTTTCCACCCCTCCTCCCAACCCTGGCAAACACGTTTGTCTCTGTGATTTTGAATGACATGTACCCCTTTATAATGTTTTATATGACAAAGACTGAGGAGTACCTGCTATGTGGCACTGTACTAAGAATGTCAGACCACTGAATTCCTCCTGTCGCCCTCCATGTAGGTACAGTTTTTATCCCCCTTCCAGACATGAGGAAACTAAAGCTCAAAAACGCTCAATCAAAGAATTTAACAACAATTTATTGAGCTGTAACAGTGCCAGGTATGGTTGTGGATTAAGGATGCCAAATGGATCCAGATCTGCTCCTGGGCACCTGAGGCCTCCTCCCGGAAGCCCTCTCTGTCCCCAGCAGAATGTATGAGGGCCCTGAACATGTCAAAATTTATTTCCCTTCCTGTCATTCAGTCAGTAAGGGTGGGCTCTGCACCGGAGTCCCTTCACCTCCCATGCAGCCAACTTGTCAGGAGGTCACTGCTCGGGCAGCCCTGACACGGGTGGGAGGTGAGTGTGCTGTACTTTTCTCCACAGAGGGGACCTGCTCGTCTCTGACTTCTGGAGCGCAGCCTTGGGTGAGTACCACTGGCCAAGGGGACGGTGGAAGGAGGGAGAGGAGGATGTGGATATGGGCAGAGAAGGGAATGTAACCCTCCTTGGAGAGCACCTTGCTTCACAGAGCAGTGTTTGTGACTCCCCCTTAGGGCTGTGTCTCGGCACTTAACTAAATGTGATGCTCAGTTTCTTTTTCTGTGAAATGAGGATAGTAACATCTGTATCCTGTAACATAGGCATGAGAACTAAATGAGACGATTTGGTGCTTGGAGCCGTGCTTGCCCGCTACACAGAAGGCAGTAAATTATCATTATTGCTGTGGCTTATATTTATCCTGTTCTCCTTCCTGGACAGCACGGGGCAGGCTGTTTCCTACCATCGCGGTCCCTTCCTACGTGTAATGTGGCAACATGATATTCATGCCCTTGGTGAGCTTACCATGGGTGTCATTTTTATTGAGGGTTTTTTCCCCTTTATATTTTAGTTATTTTATATAACTTCGCAAGTAGCATCTTTATGCATAAAGCTTGTGCCAAATTTAGTGTGATCTATTAGAATATAGTCCCAGAAGCGGAATTAAGTGAAAGGCAAGTGACCAACTCGGTGTCCATTATCATGCTGTTTCCAAACAATTTTTCCCAAGTCTCTTATCAGCAAGAACCTAAAGAGCCAGTTTTTCTGCGCAGCTCTCCTAGCCTGGGGTCTTATGTAAAGACAGCTTTGCTAATTTGACAAGTGAAAATTGCTATCTTGTTACTGGAATGCATGGCTTTTTGTTTTGTTTTGGATGTAGCTTTGTTCAACAAAATTCAGTACCAATATAATAAAAAAAGGGACGAGAACCTGCCTCTGTGGGACAGGAGTTCAACAGAACAGCTTTCATTAGGTTCTTGATACCTTCAGCCTTTTTTTAACTTTTACATATGAAATATTTCTACACCTAGACATTTATAGTGATTTTGAAAGTTATGCTCCTCTAATCTAAAAAGTATTTCATAGCGTAGCCTGCAATTACCAGACATCTCCTGTCAAATTAGAGTTGAGTTCACATTCGAGTTTTAGAGGAAACTGCCCATGAGGGAAAGCCATGTTTTGTTGAAAGTCTCTCTTGGGTCTGGGGCTGTGGGGGTCTGAGGCTGTGGGGGTCCGAGACTGTGGGGATCTGGGGCTGTGGGGGTCCAGGGCAGAGATCATCTGTCTGCCCTGGGTGTGGCTGTATGTGCCGGGCAGCTTTTCTGCTGAGTTGAAGCCATCTTGCCCTGGGTCTGGTGGCTTGGCTCACAGGGTCAGACTGTGGCCCCTGATGCACCTTGGCTGCGGGCTCTTTCAGAAACCATCAGCCAGTGTCTTACAAAACAGCTGGGACAACTGGAGGCTCCCGGAGGGACCCTTTCAGATGCCCTTGGAAACGTGCATCTCACCTCACCCGATGAGCGGGATGTGGCCCCTGACCCCAACCCAGGAGAGGCCCTGGTCAGGGGAGCCTGCCACATCAAGTGTGTGTGCTATGGCATTGGCAGCTTTGCCACCTGTGTCACAGCGAGAACCCAGCTTGCGTTTCTGCTTCTGTTCCTGGAAAAGTGCCAGGTGAGCATCGGACCTGCCTGTACCCCCCCTCCCTGGCCTCGCACACTGTGCTGTGGGTGTTTGGGCTGAGGCCACTCTTCTTCCCTCGCAGATCCCCAGAAGTCACTGCTGGGTCTATGACCCTCTGTTCAGCCAGCTTGAAATCGCTGTTCTTCACTCCCTCGGGGTGACTGTTCTCCATGAGAACGAGGTGAGCGGTGGGGAAGCGGGTGGGCCACATGAGGATCCTGACCAGAGCAGAGTGCCTCTGCGGTGGTGGTGGCCCCTCTCCACCACCCACTTCCCTCCTCGTGTCTGTACAGTGTGACTAATCAGTCACCCACATTTTGCTTTATGTCATGGTCCTGTCAAAAAAACTTACACAAAGAGCACGAACCACAGCAAGTCAGGTTTGCAAAATTTTTGTGACGAGTTTTTGTCCAAAAATTATTCGAAGTTGGTATTTGCTGCACTACCTTTTTTGTCCAAAAATTATTCTAAGTTGGTATTTGCTGCACTACCTAAAACTCAAGAAGGCATGGTCCGGGTGCCTCAAATGAGTCTGTCTAGTCAGGCTGCACCCTGTCCCAGGAAAGGTAGTAAAAGGGGACAGAAGACCTGGCTGGGACCTGTGAACAGGTCCTCCGCTGCCCCAGCACCCCCAAGAGCTTTGACATTCCCAAGGCCTCTGAAGGAGAAGCCCTTCCACAGGACAGGACTGAAGCCAGGATGCGCAGAGACCTCTGAATCTAGATTTGCATCCTCTTGGGGATTAGAGGATCATTTGATTCCTCTGTGTCCTGAAACTGCCATCTCATGGCTCATTACATAACCTCCAACAAAGGCCCTGCTGACAAGTCCATCCCCAGTGCTGACAGGGTCCTGGAACACTGGCGCTCAATCCAGATGGTCTTCTGAGTGCCTGCTCTGGGCTGGGCAGGGAGCTTGCCAGAGACCAGGATCACCAAGAGCCAGTCCACTTTAGGGAGCCTGTGGCTACCAGGGCGTGTGGCCTATGAACCCCAGTGGTGAATGCAGCAGTGTAGCGGAGTGCTGGTAAGGACAGGGAGCTTCTCTGGGTCTGAACTGGGGTTTGAAGATCTGCCAGGAATTTGCTAAAGGGACAGAACCAGGACTGCAGGCAGCTTATGCAGAGCTGGTTGATCAGGAGTCCACTGAGGCTTCTTATTAACATAAAGGGGGCTGGGGCTGGGGCTGGGGCTGGGGCTGGGGCTGGGGCTCAGTGGTGGAGAGCTTGCCCAGCACGCATGAGGCCCTGGGTTCCATCCAACACAAAGGAAGCTGCAGGTGGAGAAACCACAGAGGTGGCAGCAGCCACACAGCCAAGGAATTTGCTGTAGAACAGAGGTCTATGCTCCCGGGGGACATTTGAAGGGGATCTGCAGAAAGTGAGACAGGAGGCAAGGATCACTAACTGCAGTACATGGAGACACCACAGCTGTCCCTCCTGTCCTTTTTGATAGTGACCCAAGAAGCCCCCTACCTTCTCCAGAGCTTTCTATGCTCATGGGGCCATACCTGTTAGGCATGATGACCTCCCAACACCCCATCCCACATAACAGTGTAGACTAAACTGGAACAATTTCCAGTTTTTTCCACCTGGGGTTTAGTTGTCCTTTTTTTTTTTTTTGGTGGCCAGGGTAGCGCTGTCACTCAGGGGCACTTGTCTACTGAGCCCCGTCCAGCCCTATTTTGTGTTTTATTTAGAGACACGGTTTCACTGAGTTGCTTAGTGCTTCACTGTTGCCAAGGCTGGCTTTGAACTCGAGATCCTCCTGCCTCAGCCTCCAGAGGCACTGGGATGACAAGTGATGCTCAGTTGTCTCTTAGCTCATGTTGACATCTGTCCTGAGGTCTCTGTCACCTGCTGAAAGAAGTGTGCCCTGCGAGAGGTCACACCTGTCATTTCATGTTCCCAGGAAGGAAAGCGGAGTGTTTGTGGCCAGCCCACCGTCTTCTACATGCCCCACTGCGGGACAGCCTTGTACAACAACCTTTTATGGAGCAACTGGTCAGTAGATGATCTTTCCAAGATGGTCATCATCGGGAACAGTTTCAAGGGCCTGGAGGAGAGGTAACCCCAAGAACACTGTCATTGTGTCAGCCCAGAGGTGACACCCACAGCAGACTGCCACAGGCAGAGTGCATCCCCTGCCATCCTGCCCTAGGAAATGCTGCTCTGTAGGGAAACAGCTAAAGAGGGACAGTCAGGTTTTGAAGTGCGGGGGGAGGCACCTGGTGTCACACATACCAGGCAAGTGCTCTGCCACCGAGCCTTGTCCCCAGTTCAAGTCAGATTTTAGACCCTTAGTCAAGCTGTGCAGTCTCTTTACAAATAATCCCTCCCCTAGTGACAGAGGTGTCTTTGAAACACTCTCCATCTCTCTACCTATAGCTCCGCTCCCTTCTACCTCTGATGCTCAGGTGTGATGTCATCTCCTGGGGACCCAGGCAAAAGCCCTGGAATCTTCACATTCTCCTTTTAACTTCCCCTCGTGTATTTTTTTTTCTTTTACTATATTTAGGTCATCTCACTTTCATACCATCTTAACTTAAATAAAACCATCTTTACACCTCATAATTGTATTATTTTAATTTCTAGGTTGTTGACAAGGATTCTGCAGAAAAATTACCCTTATGTTGCAAAGGTATCTGAATAAAGGGGCCTGGCGGGAAGAGGGTGGAACCACTCCCCTGCTCACGGTGGAGAGTCCAGCTTTGCTCCAGGTAGACACTCTGCCAGTGGAGACACTGACGGCACTGTACTGTCAGCAACCCTCTCCATGGGGGTGTGTTCCAGAGAGCTGTGACATTTCAGCACCCCCTTGGTGTTTTCTGATCGCCCATCAGGGTCACTGCCCAGCACACCACTGTCCTAGGGGCATCAATGCCCTGTGCTAGAGCAGTCAGTAGTCTCCTATTCCTTATTTTTTCAAGGGACAACAGGGTGGTGAGTAAAATGAAAATTAGCAAGAAGCACAGGCACTGGCGTGACTGATGTCATATTTGAATTTTTCTGCTCAGATTCTGGAAGGGCTGGAGGAACTTGAGCTGCCTCAGATTCCCCAGTACACGGACACCTTTAATGACACCTCCGTTCACTGGTTCCCTGCACAAAAGCTGGAACAGCTCTCCAGGGATGTGTGGGCATTTCGGGAAGAACCAGAGTATCAGGACTGCGAGGACCTTGAAATCATCAGGAAGAAAACTACAGACCCCACTGTTGACCTGCACTCACTACAGTGCACCTCACCAACTGACGTGTTTTGAGGATGATGTACAGCCTGAGAACTCAGTGTGAAGACCGACACTGGTCAGCCAGTGCAGTGGCACATGCCTGTCATCCCAGCAGCTCAGGAGGCTCTAAGCAACTCTTGAGACCGTGTCCCTAAGTAAAATATTAAAAAGGGAACTGGGGATGTGGTTCAGTGGTTAAGCACCCCTGAGTTTAACCCCAGCACTCAGAACAGGACTGATGTACTTATAAAGCAGTGTCCTTCCGGGTGGCCTGGCCTGACCTCAAAGATGGTCAGAAACACTGTTCGTGCACATCGCCTCTGTGAGGCGCATCTCTGGTCTATTTGGCCATGTCGATGAGGCTCTGTAGGGAGGTGGGCACCCAGGTCTTCTCGCCCTGGACAAACACCACCCCCCGGTCAATGTAGATCACGATGCGGCCAAAGGTATACAACTGCTTCCCCTCGTGCCGCTTGCCGATGACGGGCATGAACACGATGTTGTGTTCCTCGGCCTTGGTCTCTATGAGGTCCTTAAAGTTCATGGGCACAGAGCTGGCAGCCACACCAATGCCCCTCTGGGCCATGTTCTCGGCCTCGCGGCGCTCCTGCATGGCCTCATACTGGAAGTCCTTCCTCCGCTCCGTGTGGGTGAGGTAGGCGATGTTCTCCCGCGCTCCGGGCTGCATGTAGGCCCCTGAGACAGGGAAGGGAGGAAGGGCATGAGGGAAACTGACCGTGACTTGGTCTAGTCTGGGCTGTGCTCGTGACTCACCCGAGGGCAGCTCTGCCTCAGAGACTCAAGTAACTGGGGGGACTTTGGACAAGTGGACAGTATCACAAAAACTAGTCTATAGACCAGACTGATATCAGATAACCAGGGTAAACCGCCAACATAAATGGGGGGTCCTCCTGACCACCGGCAACCCTGACTTCAGTCATGGCTCCATCTCCAACATGTCCCCGAAGTCTCCACTACACACTGGCCACTCTTAGTACCCTGGGAACCCATTCATTCCCAGTACGGCCATCTCAGGCCCTCGGCTCCGCTCTGGGACACCCACCGTGTTTTAACTTATCCACTCAGGTCCCCGACTCTAGGAGAGCAGAGCCTGGAGGGTGACGGAGGGCCACAGACACTGAGGGCTCAGGCAGAGGACAGTTCTGGGACCATGAAACCTGGGGGTGGCTGGGGGAGAATGTCTAGAGAAGGTGAAGATGGACACAGCCCTCGAGGGACCTGGACAGGAGAGCAGCACTGAAGCTCATCTGCCTCATTAAAGAGTGTGTAATGATGTCACCAGTGAGTTCAGCTGTTTTCAGGAAACCAGGTAAACAGAATTGAAAGGGAATAGAAATGACAGTCCCAGCCACCACCCTGCATCACCATGTCCCTGAAACGCATTAGATGAAGCATGCTGCAGCCCCAGCGGAGCCAGCCAAGCACATCAATGGCCTTGGCTCAGACGACCGCACAGGACTGGGACGCTCCCAAGTGTCAAAATGTGAACCTAAAACTGACTCCTGATCTAGGCAGAGCGACTTAGCTAGAACTGAGCAGCTCTGGGAACAGGGACCAAGTGACCGTGACCGGGCACAGGCCACAACCCACATAATCCCCCTATAACCAATGAGGAACATGGAGCCCAGAGAGGTTAAGCAACTGCTCAGTGAGACTCCGTCCACCCTGATCCCACAACCCCTGCCACAAGCCACGAGCACAAGCAACACCCCAAGGCCGGCTGGCTGGCACGGGGAGCCTCCAAAACACCAGGCCACACTGGGCTGGAGCAGCAGCCTATGAATCCAGCTGCAGCCAGCCTCCATCAGGGAATAGGCCCCACCAGCCCAGTGGACCTGGGCAGCAGACATAGTGGACAGAGAACTGGGTCCAGCAGCTAGCTGTCCACGCAGGAGTGCAGAGAGACCACGCGGGCAGCCTGTGGATCCCAGAACTCGGGTGCTGTCATTCGTGTGTTTAGAGACCAGGGATGTGGGGCCAGGACACCCACCGTGGGGATCCTCACTCACCAACATTAGAGGACACCGCCCTGTTCATGATGTCCAGTGCTTCATTAAACTTGTCCTTGACAGACGGATGGGCCAGCACCTGGTCTGAGAACATGGACTTCCAGCCCAGGTACCACTTGGTGATCTCCTCGTAATTGGGGCCATTACTGAGCCAGGAGCACAGCACCTGCCGGAAGGAAAGGGAACCTGTACCCCACGGCAACAGCAGGGCCACCTTCCCAGAGCGGCCCTTGTGTTGACGCTGGTCCTCCAAGCGAGTGACACCACTTGATGGGTTTCTAGGAGCTGAGAAGTGGCACTTCAGAGCCAGGACTTCAGAGCCAGTCTGTGGCTAAGTGCCCTTACAGGAAACCTGCTAAGCTCAGCCTCTGTGTCAGGGATGTCACAGTCCCTCCCCCACAGGACTGGGAGGAGTGACACAGAGCAGATAGAGTGCTCAGGGAACGGGGGCCACTGTCATGACAGAGGATGCCTCCCCTTGGTGATGTGTGTTCAAGTGGAATCACAACTACAGTCAAGCCTTGCCAGAAAATCAAGGAATGTCCCCACCCTGCCACCTCCTCCCACAACAAAGCAAACCAAGTGCACCTGGAGCCACTTGGGGAAGAAGTGCTTCTCAAGGAGCCCCACCAGGCTAGAGACGGAGATCATCCCCTCCCAGTCGATGACCCAGTAGAAGGCGTCCATGTGCTGCTGGTGGGGGTTGATGACCAGCTCACCCAAACACATCCCTGCAGGAGAAACCGTCCCCAAGGTCAGCCTTCCTACCGGCAGAGCCACAGACGTCATTAGTCTTTAAGCTGCTTTTAAAGGTCATTTTAAGCGCTCACCATAGCGATTCTTAAAAATCACTTTTTTCCTCTTACCCCCAAATAACCCCCTAGTAATTTAGAGCGCGACCCCACGGCCATCCCAGAACGCCAGTGGCTATGCTGCTGCCAGGGCCAGAAACGGACCAGCCAGGAAAGCCAGGACGCAGTGACCTGCTAGTCCCCACTGCGGGCTTTCAGTCGCTGCCACGGTAAACAGCAGCAGGGACCCCAAGGCATTTCTCCACCGCTGGCTGCAGGGCCAGAGACCCAAGGCCACAACTGAATGCACGCTCTCCATCTCCTCACCCAGCTTGGGCACGATGTTCTTGACCATGAACGCCTCCCAGGAGCCGGGAGTGAAGACGTCCTTCCAGGGCTGGAGGATAAGCTTGGCCGAGGAGTCGCTGGGGTGCCACTTCTGCAGGGCGCTGGACAGCTTGCTGCGGATGGGGGAGTAGAGGGGCTCCAGCCGCGCCTGCATGAGGGGCAGCCACGGGTGGATCCAGGAGTGGATGGGGACCGTGTCTGTCAGGGGGTTCCAGTTGTCCACCTGCAGAGGGTCGGGGAAAGGAGCAGCTGATGCAGCCTGAGGCTGTCTGGAGCCCACCCTGTGCGGCTGTGGGCGAGGACTGTCCTTGAGGAGGAAGGCCCTGCTCTCCTGGCCCAGGCCACGGCCCTCTCCATTTACCTTTCTGGTGCTGGGGACTAAACCAGGGCCTCGGCCACAGCCCAGTCCCCAGCCCTGTTCAGATAGGGCCACACTAAGTTGCTGAGGCTGGCCACGCACCTGTGATGCTCCTGCCTCAGATTCCTGGGATCATGGCCTGTGCCACTGTGCAGGCTGTCCCTGGCATTCATGAAGATGACCCAGCCTCCCCTCTATGGTGACCAAAGTGCCTGTAAGCATTTCACATTCTGTGTCCCTGGAACTGAGACACCAACCCCAACACACAACATGTTAAACCTCAGAGATTCATGAGGCTAATTTCATTGAAGACCTCAAGAAAAAGAATTCCCTCTAGAAGATCTGGGGGAAAGTCCCGAAGAGAGGGCTGGACTCTGCCACAGGACAAAGGGCTGTGCTGATGGATTCTGAATTCCAGGCATTCTAACAGCGGGAGGCAGGATAAATGCTCCACAGTCCCCAGGGTCGCTGACCACAGCTCTCCCCAGGGCTCGGCCTACCTCCTTCTGCAGCTTGGGGAAGATGAGCTGGTCCAGGATGTTGTCCAGGATCCACACGGGGATGATGTGTACCCAGCTGTCCAGGAAGTCCACCATCGGGTCACAGTTTCTTGGCTGCCACTGGTTGACGATATTTCGAACAAAAGGCATCCAGACTTCCCAGATGAGCCTGCGGCAGGCAGAGGCCCCTGGTTACCCCACGGATGGGTTTCCAAGCACCCCAGCCACCGCCACCTCCCTAACCCTGACCACAGAACAAGGAAAAGCAACAGCACAGAAGCAGCTAGTACCAGAACCCGAGGCTCCGCCTGGCTAACCTGACCTCCCCTGCCGGCCTACTTGGCCTGGGTCCCCTGGTAGTGCCCACCCGCCTGGCAAGTCTGCTGCAGGTGACACAGGCTCACAGGCCCCAGCAGAAGGCTCCTTTCCAGGTTACAGGTGCTGTCCCGCCTAGAGCTCTACCCACAGCTGACACCTCTGACCCTCTGGGCCATAGCCTGATGTCCTCTCCTGAGTGACCTCTGTTCTGATTCCCACTCTAAGTAAGTGCTCGCCCTCGTTACTCGCTACCATGTACCCAGTGGGCTGCATGGTAGACCAGAGCTGGCTGCAGTCCCCCAGGTAAGGCCAGCATGTGGGTGGCCCTGAACAGACATGTGACAGCCAGGCTGAGCAAGCAGGGAGTGGTTTAAATTCCCAGAGCAGAACCGGTACGCAGCAAGTTAACACGGACAGCATCTCCACTGTCCCCTGCCTCCAGTGACCCCTGGGCCAGGAGCGCTCGCCCGCCGCGGTACCTGTGAAAGGCATCTGCAGAGAGGTCCTGACCGCCGTGAGACAAGATCTGGTCGTTCTCCAGGAGGCTCTTCCACTTGGAGATGATCTCCGTGCCGTATGTGCAGTCCTGAGGAGAAGGGCGTCAGCTGGCCCTCCCGCTCCGCCCTCCTCAGCAGGGCGTGCCCCATCCCCCAGCAGCCACAGCTCTCCAGCTCACCTTGAGGGGATCCCACTCCTTGAAGTAGTCCTTCATGAGCGGGTAGACGATGGCCACGGCCAGGTCTACGCGGTCTGACATGCGATACTCCTCGTAGTACTTGTCCTGCAGGGTCTGGAAGACGCGAGCACACTCGTCCAGGGTGAGGGGGTTGGGGCAGCTGGGCTGCATGCGCCGCTCGCACTCCTCCACCATCTCCAGCACCCGGCTCAGGTTGGAGATGACGCGCTCCTCGTGCTCCAAGACCTCGGTCATCTTCTCCAGCTCGTGGGACAGGTTCACCACCATATCTCGCTCATACTGCAGCTGCCGATCATTCTGGATGATCTCCTGCTCTGTGAGGTCGATGAGCAGCTGCAGGTTGTGCTCCAGCTCGGGCAGGGCGAAGCCCGGGGCCTTGGCCTCCTTGCCGGGCAGGGGTGGCAGCTGGGACTGCGGCGGGAGCCCGTCGTCAGGCACATTGTGCTTGTGGCTGATCTGGCTGTAGCTGTAGTAGACCTTCTGCTCCCGGCCCGTCATGTCGATGACCTGGAGCAGGAGCAGAAACGACACGGGTTAGCGCCAATCGTTGCTGCCCGTCAGACAGGATGCAGGCAGGAGTGTCAACCACAGCTTAGCAGAGCTGTGAGAGGGCAGCATATCTCAAGGTAGCTCCATGGGGGACTAGATCAGAGGAGGCTCGGGGATAGAACGGGTACAGAGAGCCCGAGGCTGGATCCCTCTGAATGATCCCGGAGGACCTTAGGAAACAAGACATTTGAATAGGGACTGAGTGTTAGCAAAGGAACCTATTTTCATGGAAAAGTAGAAGCTCTACTCATCAAAGCAGCTAACAAAACTTGATAATCAAAATATGGCCTTTTGGTAAAAGCTACACAGAGATGCCCAGAAGCACAGGGAAAGACCTAAAAGGAGGTGTATAAGGCGTTCAACTTTGGTGACCTTGGGAGGGTGGGTACTATTGTTCATGTTTTTATTCTCTGAATTTCCTAATGTCTTAAAATGCCCTACACATTACTCTTGTAATAAAATTTTTAAAAATATAAAAACAATAAACATAGTTATTGGACTAACGCAATTTAGGAATGAACTACTTCTAACATTTTAGGAAAACTGAGGGAATCTGAGTGTGGCCTGTGCCTCTGAATAATCATTTGTTGCTTTAAGTAAGAGTGACTAGCCTGGAAAGAGCGCCCAGGGCTTTAGCCCAGATCCGACTCAACCTCGCTGGGTGGAACCTAGCACCCGTTCCTTATTGTCCCCAGATAACAGGCCATGCAGCATGCTAGGCGAGTTGAGAACACCACCGGGGCTTCTTTGAGCTGGTGACACCTGTCCTTGCCTGGCCACGGGCAGCCATCTCCACTGCTCTCAGCCCTTGGGAAGGCGATGGGAATGAGCACTGCAGGAGCACATGACAGTGGCATCCTTGCTGGAATGACTCCCAGGCCGCCCACTCAGAGGTGGCAGAGGAGTGGCAATCTCCACGGGCTGGAGCAGCAGTGGGGAGCAGGAACTGCGGCCATGCTGGGGAGAGCCTGGGCATGAGGAGTCAGGGGCAGAGGAAGCCAGGGCGTGGGGCCGGTTCCCTGAGGAAGCCTGGGCCTAGTGAGCAGTGGGAGAGCAGAAGTGGGGAGACCCCAGCGGAGACTGCAGGAAGGTGCAGAGCTGACCCCGAGGACTCATGCTTTGGAGACCTGATTGGATACACCTGGACAGCAGCGGTGGGTGACCCAGGAGCGATGTCACTCAACAGCCAAGCACAGCCTGCTCTCGGGCCTCCTCTCAGCCTGCGAGTTCCACCTCTTTCCTTGTCACTTGAGCAAATCCCACCCCTTTCCCCCTGGCCTTGTCGTATTGTCCATGAAATTCATTCTCCAAATATTTGAGACAAGAACGCAGAAAGAAAACAAGGATGAGGTGCTGGAGTCTGCTGACACGGGACGGCACGACTGGCTGCGACCTTGGGGTTGGTGCCACTCAGCAGGCCCTGCGTGGTCAGCTGCCAACACAGGACGGACTCTCCAGCTACAGAGGCTCACAGCGCATGCAGACTCCATCCGCCAGCAAAGCAGAACTTCGGGCTTGAGCTCAGACTCCAGTGTCCCCAGCATAGTGCCCTGACACTCCACACGCTCCCGGCCAGAGTCGCTGCCAGCTTCCCCGCACGTAAGGCCTGGGCGACTTCTGTGTTCTTTATCTTGGTGGCTGTCCTAGGAACCTCTCCTCAGCCTCAAGTAAAGCTTTAG